CTCCATTGATGAATGTCAGTCAGACACATTTTAAAGCTGGGGGTGGGAGGGGGATGACCAGGCCTTATCTCTTGAGTCTGAACCCCACAAGGAAGCTAAGAAGTCAGGCCAAAAAGACACACAGCGCAGGTGTAGCAGAGGCCATCAGGTGTCCCTGGCCACCATCTGAGGGAAGGTGGGCTCCAGAACTGAGCAAGGAAAGGGGCTGGAAGGCTTCAGGGGGAAGAGAGACAATAAGACCCACCAGCTGTGATGCAGGCTGTTACGTAGACCTAGGAACCAGTGTAAACAACATGATGGGAAATGGGGGGGGGGGACCTCTGGCCTCTTCACGGGTCAGATTTGCAAACACAGCATGCAAAGAGTGGCTTCCTTCACGTCAGCCTTGGCATGTCAAACAGTGAAGACCAGCTGGCTTTGAACTCCGTATACAGCCTAGGCTCGCAGCAAGGGTTCCCTCAGAAAAAAATTTAAAGATTTATTTATTTATTATGTATACAGTGTTCTGCCTGCTTGCTAGAAGAGAACACCAGATCTCATTACAGATGGTTGTGAGCCACCGTGTTGTTTCTGGGAATTGAACTTAGGACCTCTGGAAGAGCAGCCAGTGCTCTTAACCTCTGAGCCATCTCTCAGCCCCACCTCAGAAAAATAAGTTTACGATTTATGTTTATTTGTGTGTGTGTGTGTGTGTGTGTGTGTGTGTGTCTGTGTATCTGTGTGTGTGGGGGGGGTGTCTGTGTGGGTATGTTCACATGAATGAATATTCTTGTCCAGTCCAAAAGAGGCCATCGGATCCTCTGGTGCAGGAGTTACAGATGGTTATAAACCCTCCAAAATGGAAGCTAGGACCTTCTGCCAGAGCAGTACAAACTCTTGACCACTGAGCCGTCTCTCCTGCCCAAAGAAGTTTCTAAAATGCCCCTGTGGCTTCACATTCCTCCAGTGTCTTCCTGCAGACCCCAGGTCTCTCCTAAGGCCCACATCCAGCTTGCAGGAGCTGGGCCTTGTATTTCTCCAAACTCCCTTTGTCTCTGAGGATGAGGAGGGGGCAGGCATGGAGGGACGCTTTCAGGTTCAAAGTAGCTTTAGAGGTCGGCTCATGAAAAGATAAGTAGTTATCCAAGGAGTAACGATATCTCTCCCCCGAAACCCCACCGTGTGTGTGTGTGTGTGTGTGTGTGTGTGTGTGTGTGTCCTTAAGTCCTAGAGAATGGCTATAGTCAGTTGTGATTATAATGTAATTATTATAATATAATTATAATGTGTTATATTTAGAATAGAACATTTCTTGTTTGAGGCTGGGGAGATGGCTCGACAAATAAAATGCTTGCCATGCAAGTGTGAGACCCTGAGTTCAGACCCGTAAACACATCCTTGTAATCCCACACTGAGTAGGTAGACAAGTGGATCCCTAGGGCTCCATGGTTTCCCCAGCCTAGACTACTTCCAAGCCAGCAAGAGTCTCTCTCGTGTGGAGACTGTTCCTGAGGACATCCAGGGCTGTGGTCTGTTACACACGTGTGCCTCTGAGAGGAACACAATTCGCCACCTAGTACGTGGAACTGAAATTACCAGAGATTGTGTTGCTGTTCCTGTTCCCATCTTTGTGCTCTGCTAAGGGTGGGCAGTTAGTGGGACATGACCTGGACCTTTCAGGCCAGGGCTGATCAAGGCAGGCAGAAATCACAAAGGCCAACAGACCATTCCAGGTGGCCAAACACCACACAGAGACCTGGACCAGGACACAGCTCTGAGGTCACTCTGGGTTGAGTCCAGATAATGTCATCTGCTCCCCAGACCTCAGACCCTGCCCACACTACGCCCACCCCGTATCTCCCAGAGGAGGGGGTAAAGCAAGGAAGAAGACCCCAGCGTGCATTTGGTAGGCTGCAGAGCCTCTGCATGGTGTTAATCATTAAGGGTTCCAGAACTTGAGAAAAGCAATGATTTAATGAGTGACTAAAGTACTTCCAAATATCACCACCCAACTTCCTCCAGCTCTTCTTGTTCTGGAACCTACAAAGAAAAAAAAAAAAAAAAAAAAACCCTAGGGTCACTGGACAAGTACCCAGAGCGGAGGTCACCTGCCTGCTAACACCAGATCTGCTCTGCACATCTCTCTTGCTTGGTAGGAAAAAAAAAGACATTCTTGGGAATTTTTGCCAGTTTTAAACTGGGGTGACTTGACACCAAAAGAATACCTCTCCTGCTAGTCTACTGGACCCCAGAACAAGTGTTGCAGTGAAGGAGACCCTGTCCCTCTCCAGTCCCAGGCAATGACTTGCCCGGTCCCTCCGGGGAAGTTAACTGAAACTTTTATCTGAGATTTAGAAATACAGCTTTTATCCACAGCACAGGCTCCTTGTGGTACCACATTTAACCAAGAACACTACCCGCCTGCAGTAAGAAGGGGATCAGACCAGAGGGACCTCAGGACTTCTCTACCGGCATGGGCGGGCCTCTCTACGGACACCCTGGGCTCTAGCCCGGAGGTGGCACCTCAGAAGATGTCTGTCCCCCGCAGAAGCTTGGGCCCCAGTGACCGCGTGGAACAGGAGGACTTTGGAGCAAGTCTCCTCAGGACTAAAGTCAGTGCTGCCTCCTTCAGCACCAGTGTGGGCCAGAGTGGAAGTGCAGGTGCCCCAGAACCTGGGGTCCTGACAAGACACTCAGACAGGCGCAGGCCTCCCTGTGAGTCCCTCGCTGGGACTGAGGAGAGAATGGGGGTGGGGTGCAGGGCAGCATGAGGTACACTTTTGGGGGACCGTTCTGAATTCTTGGGAACCCTGCACTGAGGTGCGTGTGCACACACACAGCTCCCAGCACTCCCCACACCTGCGGGCGCAGCAGAGGGCTTCACGGAGGCCAACCAGAGCTGCCTGCCCCCCCTTGAGTCGGCCTTACCGAGGATGACCTTCAGATCGTCCCGTCTGTGCCTCCTGAGTGCTAGGATTACAGGTGTGCACCACCGCATCTGGCTGGCACAGTGTTAACAATGGGATTTGTGCAAGGCTAAGCAAACACTTTTGTGAGTGAGCCCCACCCCTCCAAACCCACCACCTCCTCTCTAAGGCAAAGTGGTACAGCTGTGGCTTGGGGCAATTTCCTGAATTGTAACAATTACATCCTCAAGAAAAGTGTAGAGGCCAGCAGCGTTGAGCCACCTCTCGGCATGGTCACCAACACAGGCCTCTGCACCTCCCGTGTGAGCTTCCAGCTTCCTGGCTGCTGTCTGCTTGCTGTTTCTGTTCTTCCCAACTTCCTGCCAAGGGTCTTGAAGGGACTCTAGTCAGCTCGAGCATGGCAGACATGGCTGTGGTGGGCCTTGCCCTCCCTCCCATTCCCTCTGCCTTGCTAAAAAACACATGACATTCCAAAACATGGCCACCAAGGTCTATTCCCTAATTTGGCCACTTCCTCCTCCCCGGGGTTGACCGCCAAGGTCCAGCTATCAAAGTATCAAAGTCCAGCCATCAAAAGCCCCCTTTGTGGCTCACCTAATGAACAAGGCCAGTTAGAATGAAACACCTCACCCTAACATGGAATCCCCCCTTTACCTTTATAAACTGCCATTTGCCTATGGACCTCCTCTGTCTTCTCTCCATGGGGGGGGTTCTTTGTTGTCCCCCCTCCCACAACCAACAAACACCCCTCCCCCTCTTGTTCTTTCCCCTCCTCCCTCATCCGCTTTCTCTGCCCCCTGTCTGTCCCTCTGGGGGAAAATAAATCTTCCTTGCGCTGAGAACTTGGTTTTGGGGTGTCTTGAGCTGATACTGGTCCCTTCGGGTCTCATAAGAGGGAACAGACAAAAGTTATTTGCTGCCAGGGAGACCGCTGTCCCACGACCCTTTATCCCCTTGAATGTGTCCTGTGGAGAGGTGAATTCCCTTCCCAGACTGGGGCTTGGGATTCTCCTCTACAACTGACTTTGGAACTCATGCCTATAAAAAGCCAAGGGTGCTTTCAAGAACTAGAGAGGTGGTAGCCTAGTGGTTAGGAGCACTGGCTGCCTCTTCCAAAGGATCTGGGTTTGATTCCCAGGGCCCACAGGGCTGCTCCTAACTGTCTGTAACTCCATTTCCCTGGGATCTATCTTCTGACCTCATGGGTAGGCATGCACACGGCATACAGACATACATGTAGGCAAAACACTCATACACACGTAAAAAAATATTTTAAGGCAGAGGGTGCTTTCAGCTGGAGAGGTGTGCCAGGAACATGCTGGCAGCTTCTCTCTGGGAACCGGATTTCACACTGTTTGATTACAGTGTACAGCCTTGTAACTTTTACAAGTCTGCCAGTTAAGATGCATATTATACTCAACTAATATATTTTGCCCAACTAAGAGCACATATAAGCCAGCCCACCTCACAGCCCTTGTAAATATGAAGCCTCGGCAGGATAAGCTGCTGGAGTAGTTCCCCGGTAGAGCACTTGTGTAACACATGTGTGCCAAGTCCCTGACTTGATCCCTGGTACTGGGTTGGGAGAAGTCACCCACAACCAGCTTAAATGATTGCAGATGGCTGTATCACCAAGCGGCGTATACGCCTGTGATCCCAGCATGAGGGAGGCTGGGGCAGAGGATTAGATGTAGAAGGGCAGCCTGGGCTACAGAGCAAGACCCTGTCTCAAAACAAACCAAAATGAAACAAAAAAGATGATTGTGACACCCAGGCCTGGGCTAGCTCACTCAGCAAACTGTGTCCTGTGCTTGGGCATTGATCTAGCACAGGAGTGACACGTGTCACCCAGACGTTACTGCCAACAGAGTAGGAAAAGTCCACCTTTTTGAGAATGGCCGCTTGCTGTTTCTGAAACCCTGAAGTCACCCACAACAGAACGGGGGGTTCAACTTTACTCAGGGGCTCTTGAGAAGGCCTTGGGAGAGTCGGTCTTGATACTCTGGTGACCAGACCTTTCTGTGTCAGAAGGAAAATCCAGAGCAGAGTTCTCCAGGGGGTAGCAAGCCAGAGGGCTTCTGGAGAAATGAGAGACCGTGTGGGAGAGCAGGGCTGACCATGTGGACAGTCGTGAAGTCCAAAGCGAGAAGGGAGCTCCTTCAGCTCTCATGAGTCCCGAGGCTGCTAAGGGGCTCTGCCTGGGGCATGACTGGAATGTGTGGCCTGGTGCTGGCCAGATGTAGGCAGGGACTGAGGAGATAGGGTTAGGGGCCCAGACTCCAGAGAGATTTGTGAAGTAGGTCCATTTGCTGTGGTAAGAGAAGGAAGAGTCCCTGGGTGTTTCCAGAAGCATCTACATGGATCTTCACTGAGTACAGTAGAAAACCTGAAGAAAGCAGGATTCGGGAGGGCTGGGGGTGAAGAACTCTGCTCTGGACAGGTGCAATGTTTGTACCTCAGAAGATTTGAGCAAGCCAAGGGGGCGAGGAACCACCGATGTGGTTCTCTGACAGTACCAAGATACTGAGCTTCCCAAGGCAGAGGCTGTGGAGGCCAATCCAAGGAGCAAATCATGAGCCCTGCCGGTGCTGGGAGGCTGGGAAGGAAAGCAGAAAGCGATAGCCCAAGGAGGGGACCAGGGCATCAGACTCTCAGATGCAAGTGATACATTTGTCTCCCTGTTCAGATCAGGTGACTGGGGACACACACATATCCATTCCTGGTTCTGGGCATGAGCATTATAGAGTTGGTGAGCAGGCCTGCATCCTTTCTCCAGGCCCTGAGACTGTCCCTTCCTTTGCCTTTGTAAAGAGAAGTTTCTAGAGTCTTCCTCTTTCTTGCTTCCAGCCCATCCTTCCATCTCCAAAACCCAGAGCATGTTACCCTTGAATCTCTTTCTCCATTCCATTTCCTTGGCTACATCTCCTTCTGACCATCACACACACACACACACACACACACACACACACACACACACACACACACACACCTCATGTCCCTCATAAGGCCCTCCCAATGACATCAGACTAATTCAGGATGGTCTCATCTCAACATCCTATGGCACACCCCATTTTTCTCTTTGTACCAGTCCATGCAAAGGAGAATGAATACTTCCTCAGCATTCAACATGAGCCCCCTAATACTGGAACTGTCTATCAGGTATGGTCTGGAGAGCCCCTTTTAAGGCTGCTTGTCATTGGGGTTCATTAGACTGAAGGGAACAAAACCTTCCTTCATTTACTAGATGATTCTCCAACTGTCAGCAGGATAACAAAGAGGCTTTACTAATAAAGTTCTGGAGAGTTCTAGAAAGCAAGGGTGCTTTTATGTAACAGTTCCTCTCGGGTACTGCCCCCATAACTCATGATCTTTCCAGTTTTGAGGGTCCTTTACCTCATTTGTCCCCAAACTCCCCATTAGCAGCCAAGTCCAAGGCAGTGCTGAGCCTCATAAAGTCAGTACGTTCCCTCTATGTTCATGTCAAAGTTCAAAGTATAATGATGGGTATAAAAACAATGCTTGCCCAACAGGTCACTGACACGTGCCAACAAAGACACTCCTGGGCCACCTATTGGCTGAAGTCAGAGTGACCTCAGGAACATTTTGAACAAAAGCTATTTACTTTTTGGTACAAGTTATCTTCAACACTTAGAAGGACCTAATTTTCCATGTAAATGTAAATTAAAAAGTAATCTACACACCCACTGCTAATCCAGCATCAAAACAAGAAGACGTGGGTATAGAAGTGACAGACGATGCCAAAGAAAACCGGTGTGTTTGGTCCCCAGTTCTCGCGCGTGATAAAACGGCAGTCAGTGTGCCAGCTCTTCCTGTAGACACCAGCAGGTGACGACGGCCAGCTGCATATGCACGGGCAGTGCAAGCAAACGCCAGCCCACACAGCTGCCTCCCCGTGCATTTCATCCTTTCTGCCTCGTTCGTACCCCAAGTCCATCTCGGGAAATGGCACACACAGGTCCAAGTTGGACATGCTGGATGCCAGAGTTCAGCTCACCAAAGACTCCTGCAAAGCCACCTTCCGATGACAAAAGTCCTGAAAGCACACCCCAGATCCTTACAAACTCCTAGAGGTGGGTCACAGTCAGAAGCACTGGGAGGTTTCACTACAAGAGCACAGCCACCACGACACCCTGCAGGAAATGCAGATCACATGCAAACAATGTGTTCTCTTCTTGCATGTTAGCAAGGTGGCAAGAAAGACTCACACAGGGCTAGAGGGCTGACACTAGCGCCAAGCTTCTCCACCAACAGCTGTCAGGGCCGGTCTGGTAGACTCCTGCCCACCTGTAGCTTTCCACCTCTCCCACAGCGTAAATGGGGACTATGCAGGCATGCACACACGCGGCCACCACATGCAAATACACATCAGAATTATCACATTCAGGTGTACATTTGCATACCATGTGCTGCTGTGTTTGCATGTCATGTGTATATTTTTTCTACCTAATTACAATGCATACAAAATGAGTGTGTTAAATTAAATACATAATGTTTAGACATTAAACTATTTTTGGGTAATAAGTAAACATTACCCAGTGTTTGAGACAAAGATGGTGTAGGGTCTAAAGGAGGCAATAAGGGGGAATGGGGATGCTGCGCGGTGATGGCTCACACCTTTAATCCCAGCACTTGGGAGGCAGAGACAGGTGGATCTTTGTGAGTTCAAGGCCAGCCTGGTCTACAGAGTGAGTTCCAGGACAGGCTCCAAAGCAATACAGAGACACCTTGTCTTGAAAAAAAAAAATCTTGAGGATAGAAATAATGAAAAGAAAAAATAGTTCAGCCTGGACTACATAGTGAGTTCAGAGAGAGAGAGAGAGAGAGAGAGAGAGAGAGAGAGAGATGCAGAGGGGTTTAATTGGTTTTTGAAATTTTCCAGCATCAATCTATAATATATATCCTGAGAAAATCCTGAGAAAAGCTGCAAAATTACCTGTGAAGATACTGGATAAGTGGTTATTGTTCAAGCAGAAAAAAAAGTCATTAAAGTAATTTTTTAAAAAGTTATTATAGTGGCTGGAGGTTAAGAGCACTTCTAGAGGTCCTGAGTTCAATTCCCAGCATCCACATGGTGGCTCACAACCATCTATAATGAGATGTGGTGCCATCTTCTGGCATGCGTGCAGAACACTGTATACATAATAAGTATATAAATCTTTTTTAAAATAAAAGTTGTTATAGCACTGTTTCCATGGGGACCTCCAAACATTTGTCTTCCCAGCTCAGTCCCAGCACTCGAGCACACACATACATGCACACGCCACAGGCACCCACACAGAAATCTCAGACATGAGAAGAGAGCAGTGATCCCAGAATCTAACTCACGAATGGTGTGAAAGTTTTTGTTAAAAACTGATTTGAGTTCCATCTGTTACACTATTGAAATTTAAAGAAAAAAATCTGTGAGTATATACTATTTGCAAATAAGAGACAGTTCGGGGAGAAAAGTCTAAGACAGAGAAGGCATGTGTGTGGACATAGAAGAATCCCACGGCTACCGGAGGAGGGAGGTCCTCGCCTCGGTATTAGGTCGATCGAATCGAGACTACATGAAAAGCCACAGGGTCTCTTATTTTTAGAAGCCCGCTCCTCAGACTGTGCTCTCCTTTGAGATCACCCCAACATACAAATGTGTTTATTCACAACTGGCAAATAAGATCATGTTACCGTGTCTGAAATAAACGCGTTAAATGCTGAGAGCTGCAAGCCATACCTTTAACAAAGTTCTAGTTGGGGAAAGCGAAACAGAACTCTGGGTAGTGGGAGGGGCTTCACGGGGAGAGAACGCCCTGTTGCCCTGAGTTTCCCACTGCCCCCCCATTTCCAGTCTCTTCTCCATCCACTTCGCTGCACCGCCCTCCTGAAGGCAGAGGATGCTCCTGCTGAGAACGTTATCAAGTGGAAAAGACCTATGGCCCCTCAGAGGTCCCGGCCTCCTGCCCTCGTCAGGGCACCTCTGAGGGGCCCCACCCATCTGATGGTGCATGGAGCTGTTCGAGTAGAGGCTGTAGAGGCCCCAGTAGGTCGAAGACAACACAAGCTGGAAGACAACACATTTGAGGCCCACGTTTGATTTTTTTTTTTTGTATATTGTTCAACTTTCCGAATGTTCCGTAATTTCAACAGAGTGTTCGTGTGTCCACCCAAAGTCCCTCTGCCTCCCCCACAGCACGTTTATTACCCCTGTGCCCACGATGAGGCCCTGCATTTTATAATGCCAGCCTCCCCACAAGCCCCATACCACCACCCAGCACCACACTCACACTCACACACACACACACGCACACACACACTCACACACACACTCTCACACACACATACTCACACACACATACACGCACACACACTCACACACACACACTCACACTCACACACACACATGCACACTCACACACACATACACTCACACACACACATGCACACTCACACACACTCACACACATACACTCACACACTCATACACTCACACACACTCACACACTCACACACACTCACACACTCACACTCACACACACTCACACACTCACACTCACACACACTCACACACTCACACACACTCATACACTCACACTCACACTCACACTCACACACACACGCACACACACATACACGCACACACACTCACACACACACACATACACTCACACACTCGTACACTCACACACACTCACACACTCACACTCACACACACACTCACACACTCACACTCACACACACTCACATACTCACACTCACACACACTCACATACTCACACTCACACACTCACATCTCACACTCACACACTCACACTCACACAAACACACACACTCACACACACACATACACGCACACACACTCACACTCACACACACTCTCACACACTCACACTCTCACACACACTCACACACTCACACTCACACGCTCACACACTCACACACATGCACACTCACACACTCACACTCACACACACTCACACACTCACACACTCACACTCACACACTCACACACTCACACTCTCACACACACTCACACACACTCACACTCACACACTCACACACACAGTCACACACACTCATACACTCACACTCACACACTCACTCACACTCACACACACTCACATACTCACACTCTCACACACACTCATATACTCATACACTCACACTCACACACTAACACTCACACACTCACACCTCACACTCTCACACTCTCACACTCACATACACACATACTCACACCCACACACTCACACACACTCATACACTCACACTCACACACCCACACTCACACCCACACTCACACACTCACACTCACACTCACACTCACACACTCACACTCACACACACTCACACACTCACACTCACACTCACACACTCACACACCCACACTCACACTCACACTCACAGGCCCCTGAGTCTTGCAACACCTTCCTCTTCAGCACTCTGACCTTGGTCTTCCCAGTGTCCAAGCAGATCCCCCTCCACTGCATCCTTACTTGCTTCAGCGCCCCCTCCAGACCCTGCTTCGACCTCCCTGCCATGGCAGTCCGCCTGCCATGCCTCCAGCACCCCCTTCAGGACCCCTCCTCCCATCCATCCTCACACCCTAGGCCTCAGCACCCTCCTCAGGACTCACCCTCCCTAGTTATCATCGCCCCCAGCTCTCCAGCGCCCCCCAAGGATTCCATCTCTCTCCCCATCACCCCCGGCTCTCCAGCGCCCCCCTCGGGATCCAATCTCTCTCTCTCTCCATCACTCCCCCAGCTCTCCAGCGCCCCCCTCAGGATCCACGGGATCCAATCTCTCTCTCCATCACTCCCCCCAGCTCTCCAGCGCCCCCCTCGGGATCCAATCTCTCTCCCCATCACCCCCCAGCTCTCCAGCGCCCCCTGGGGATCCAATCTCCCTCTTCTCTCTCCATCACTCCCCCCAGCTCTCCAGCGCCCCCTGGGGATCCAATCTCCCTCTTCTCTCTCCACCACCCCCAAGGACTCCAGCGCCCCCTTGGGGTCCGGTGCCCCTTACTCCACTTTCCCATCTCCATACTCTCCCTCTCCTTGGCTCCACCCCTTTCCCGCCAGTTCTGCACACGGCTCTCTTTGGGGAGGTGGTGGCAGCAGCTGCAGCACGAAGATCCACTTAGCACGAGGTGACAAGTTGGCAGCCACGCGGTAAACGACCCAGGTCCCGCCTCCGTGGTGAAGCTCCGGGGTGCCTCGGCCTCCTGGGGAGCATCGGGGGTCGTGGGCATGGGTGGGATGGGGTGGGATGGGGGGCGGAGCAGGGCGGGTGGGGCACGGGCGTGGGAGGCAGACATGGAGCCTGATGGGCCGTGTGCACATGGCTGCCAAGAGCAGCGAGGTCCAGAGAGAGGCTGCTCTGCCCAGCAGACCTCGAGTGTGGCACCAGGTGGGGGGCTTGGGCGAGCCTGTAGAGACCCGTGCGCTGAGCCCGGTTTCGCTCAACCCTTGGCCATGCCTGCTCAGACGACCACCCTTCGCCGTCGTGCACCCAGCCTGGGATTGAGAATGTTGGACTTTTGCGGGGGTGGAGGGTTGCCGGGACATGCATAGTCTTACTACAGAGCCCAGACAGGCCGGGAATATTGGCTCTGTCTTTCGCACCTTGATGAGAGCCTGTGTCTGCTAGGCCTCGGCCCTTCTGCACCCCATAAAGAAAGATTACATGCTCTCTTTCCATCAGGGAACGTCACGATGGCTGCTGCTGAGGTCCCTGTCCCTTCTGAGCATTTCACCCAAATCAAAGAGCAGAAATGGAAGCCTGGAGAGGAAGAGGAAAAGGAGGAGGGTGGGGTACAAAGAATGGAAGCCCAGGAGGGCGCTGTGGAGGCGGAGGCCGCGCCCTGCCAGCTTCTGGATGCAGTGGGACTCCAGAAAGACCAGCCTGAGCTGCCTCTGTGGGTCCCAGCAGAGAGCGATAGACGGATCCTGACCCTGCAGACCGTGCACTTGGCCCCCCAGGAAGTGCACCTGCAGGGGCTGGGGTGGCTGAGCGTGCCACACTCCGAGGAGTTCCCAGTGATGCTACCACAGGAGGAAACCTTCCTGCCATTGCCATCCGTGCTGTGGCTTGAACAAGAGCCCCAGCCCGGCCTCCAGCACTGTGTGACCATCAGCATCCCGGAAGAGCTGTACCAGCCTGAGGAGCTGGAGCTGATGCATTTTCACCTGCTGCAGGACAGTGTGCCCGCCGCCGAGGTGGGCCAAGAGTTAACACCCAACCTGGGTGAAAGCGCAGCCCCGAGGAAGGTATGGTTCACCCTCACACACAGATGCCTTGTGGGAAAGAGGAAAGTAAAGCTGGTTTTTCTTAGATAAAGGCTTTGTGCGATGTTATGTATGGACAAGATATTTTTTTAAAGATGTTATTTATTTATTATGTATACAGTATTCTAGTTGCATGTATCCCTGCAGGCCAGAAGGGGGCAGCAGCTCTCATTACAGACAGGTGTGAGCCACCATGTGGTTGCTGGGGATTGGACTCAGGACCTCTGGAAGAGCAGCCAGTGCTCTTAACCTCTGAGCCATCGCTCCAGCCCTTGGTCAAGATATTTTGAAGTTGGAAAACAAAACAGTAAAAAATAATGAGAGATCTTACCATATACATATGTGTATATATGAACCTTACCGTGTTTAATACACACATCTAATATATATAAAGTGTTTTAAAAGTTACAGGAGACAGTACTATTAATGTAAAGGGCATCGTATCTAGAAAAAAAAAAGAAGTCTTATGGCCATACCCAGTTGTTACGGTGCTTGCTCGCATACATGCATGAAGTCTGGTTTTCGTCCCCAGCATCTTATAAACCTGGCTTGGTGGTACAGGGTGGTCAACTGTGGGCCCTATAAGAACCCAAAAGAAAAACAATGCCACATACAGCAAAGATCGAGTCACCACAGAAACCCAGATGCTAGATTAACGGTGGCTTAGTTGCGAGCATTTGGTGGCCATGAGCCATCTTACTGCGTGTCTGCTTTTCCTTCTGCGTCCTGTGGTTTGCCAGAACGAAGAATTCTGTCAGACCGTAACTAACCCTGTTGCCTCTGATTGCTCGTTTTTACTTATCAGTTTGAAGACCAACTGTCACCAGGGGGAGAGCCGGATACGGAAGGAGAAGAGAGGCTCCTTTTTGTGGAGATGACTCCAAACAGTGAAGGAAAAGATGCGATTCTTCTGACCATTTCCCATCTGAGACTGGAAGAGCAGCAAGACCAGGCGTTGCCTCAGCAGAGCAGTGCACCCAACGCCGAGACCACAACACCTCCCAGGGGGGCCAAGGGTAGGCTGGCCACTGGCACAAGGCACCAAGGGGCCCCTTGTCTCTCTTGTGGGAAGGTGGCTGAAGTCTGAAGTGTTGGCTTTTGAAGGTTCCTTTCAGAACATCAGGAAATGGAAGGAATTTGGATTTTGGTTTTTGGGTTTATTGTTGTTGTTTTTCCAAGACAGGGTTTCTCTGTGTCGCTTTGTAGACCAGGCTGGCCTCAAACTCTCATAGATCTGCCTGCCTCTGCCTCCCAAGGGCTAGGATTAAAGGTGTGTGCCACCACCTCCCAGCAAGAAATTTTAAACTGATGTTCTGTATTGTAACTCAAATCCAAAAGGTTTCTGTTTTGTTTTGCGCACACACATTTTAAAAGCAGTTTTTCCATGTTCCAAAAAGCCTTATGCACATAAATCACAGGCCAGGCCCTTGGCTCTGCTTTCTAGCGTCCGTGAAGTTGCTTGGGAGTGTTAGGTGGGGTCAGGTAATTACAGAGCAGGGCAGCAGCAAGCCCTGCCCTGTAGAAGAGGAAAGGCAGGTGAATGGGACCGGGGAGCTCTTCCTGCAGAAGGCTAGAGGCTATGAAAGGGGGCAAGCAAAATTGGGGGCCAAAAAAATACAGAGTGAGACTGGGGGCCAGGAGAAAGGGCAGAGCCAGGCTGGAGACTATGGTGGAGAATGGAGCCAGCCTAAGAGCTGGGGCCGAGCATCACCCTCCTGTGTGAGCATCCATGGCCCTGTCAGGGCACTCAGCCTGTGGAGGTCTCATATAACAACATAATAGATGCCATCCTAGCAGCCCACAGGAAGAATCTGACACAGGGTGCTTTAATGGACTGCTGTTTTAAAGTAATTTCTCGCTTGTTTAAGTTGAGACATTTTATCCATTATCTCAATTTCTAGATGACTTTTTAAAAGACCTCTCTGACTGAAATTGCAGCTCAGTGGCTCAGCTCTTTCTTAGCATGAGTGACACCTAGGGCTCCATCCCCAGTCCTCCAAAATGAGCAAACAAACAAACACCACCATTGGGAAGTCATTCTGTGACAGCACACAGCATCTTCCTCTTCTATTAGCCCATGGCAAGGTTGGAGAGGAGGTGATGCCCTTTACAAAGGGTCCAGCCACCCTGCAATACTTCACTGCCCTTATTTGTGGCCAGGGTCATTCCTGTGGGTCTCTGCTCTGGGGTGGAGTTTGGACTCTGCCTGTGGCAGCTTCTCATAAAGCCAGTCATGAGGCTGCGGCCTCAAATTTCTCTCCTACCTTGCTTTCCAGTTTTTAATGTATTTGTAATCCCATCCAAACATCACCACTTTGATTCCAAAACATTTTTATCACCCCACACACACACACACACAAAGAAATCTCTGTCGTTTAGTTACTTTCCATCCCTGGTCTCCTGGCCCTGGGAACCACCAGTATATTTTTGTTCTGGACATATGGAATAATATGTCCGTGATAACCCTTGCAAACCCTATGTCCTCTGGCTCTACATTCTTTCACTTGGTCCAGTTTCAGGATTCGTCTTATTGCAGCATATGTTAGCACCTCCTTTTTAACAGCTGCCTAGTGTTCTGTTGTGTGGACATACCACAATATTTCACCCATTCACCCTTTGCTGGGTGTTAACAGTTGTTCCCACTCCTCAGCGATTGTGAATGGTGGTCTTGTGGCTATTAATGTGCCTCAATTTGGGGGAATGTACATAAGTAGTGGGATTTCTGGGCTATATCCTTGTTCCATGTTTAACTGTGTGTGTGTGTGTGTGTGTGTGTGTGTGTGTGTGTGTGTGTGTTGGGTGTGTGTGTTGGATGTGTGCATGCCTATGAATGCATGTGGAAACCCCCTAGGAAGAGGTCACAGAACATCTTCTGTATCACCCTCTTCCTTGCTGTCTGGAGACTCTCTCTTTCACTGAATGTGAAGCTAGGCTGGAGGCCAGCAAGCTCCAAAAATCCTCCTGTCTCCAACTCCCACAGCATTAGAGTTAAAGGCATTGGAGGCCACACCTGACTTTTTACAGGGATGCTGGGGATTTGAACTAGGGTCCTCATGCTTGCATAGAAAGCACTCTTCCATGCTAAGCCATCTCTCCTGTCCCATGTTTAACTTTCTGAGAAACTGCCAAACTATCTCCATCAGTACTCCACACCCTCAACAAGTTGATTTCGGTGCATTGTCCTGTCGTCCTAATGGTCGTTCTGATATTGTTGTTCTGGTGGTTATTGTTCTGATGGTGTTGTTCTAATGGTGTTCTGATGGTTGTAGTTTTGATGGTTGTCATCCTAATGGTCATTGTTCTGGTGGTATTCTGATGGTTGTTGTTCTCGTGATGTTCTGATGGTGGTATTCTGATGGTGTTGTTCTCATGGTGTCGTACTGATGGTCACTCTGATGGTACGGAGTGTGAAAAGGAGTCTGGCTGCTTTCATTCACATCTTTCTAGTGGCTGTTTCTCCAAGCATGTATTGACCCGGTGTGTCATCTGTAGAGAAATGCATTCACAGCCTTGGCTGCTGGCATGAGTTTCTGGTGGTTGTCAACATGCCTTCAGACAGCAGTTAGGATGGTCCACAGTGCTGGAAGCCAGAAACTGCCCTCAGCCAGCTCCGTAAGAGCTTTGTCAGGAAATGGTAACTGAGATGCATAGCCCTTCACAGCTGTCTCCTGGCAGAGGATGTCCTCACTCGTCTGGAAGACCCGGCTCTACCAAGGGGAATGTCTGAGATACAGGAAATGGCTGCATCTGGTACAGTGGCCACCACCCATGTGTCTGGTGGGTGCAAAAATGAGACTTACCACAGAGGAGCCACGTTGTGTTTTCATTTTAGCTATTTTAGATACAAACTTAAATAGTCACGTGTAGCTTTTAGCTGTGGCTTCATTCTGCTTCATGTCAGTTTGCCAGAACTCCCCGGCTTTGGTGGAGGATGCCGGGAAGCCACGTGGGTGTCTTCATTTCACTCAACAGAGCACATATGCACTTGGGTCCATGTTTGCCGGAGATCTGCTTCTAGAACACTCTGCTTTGAGCAGACGCCTCATCTTCTGACCTCTCTGGTCTCCACCACACTCTAAATGTTATGACATTTCTATAAGACTGACTTTTTTTATTTAGTTTTTGTTTTATTGGGTTTTTTTTTTTTTTTTTTTGATACGGTTTCTCTGTGTAGCCCTGGCTGTCCTGGAACTCGTCGATCTGTAGACCAGGCTGGTCCTGAACTCACTGAGATCCACCTGCCTCTGCCTCCTGAGTACTGGGATTAAAGGTGTGAACCACCACTGCCCAGTTAAGATTGATTTATTTTTAATTTGTGTGTGTGTGTGTGTGTGTCTGTGCACCGCCTGTGTGCAGTGCCTGTGGAGGCCAGAAGAGGGCACTAGATCCTCTGGAACGGGAGTTGTAGATGTTTGTGAACACCACTGATTCCCATTCTGGAAGGTGGCTTAGGGACCTAGACAGACACCCACCTCCTAACAAGATGCTCCATCAAGAATGGGGTGTCCTGAGGTACTGAGCCGTCGCCTTATCCTGGCCTCGGCTGGAACTGCTCAAGGGAGATCTTTCCAGGCGAGTCACTGTGTCTTCTCCCTATAGGAAAAACCAGAACCTTCCAGTGCGATGCCTGTCCGTTCACTTCTTCCAAATTCTCAACTTTCACCCGTCACGTGAAAATTCACAGCGACGAGAGACCTCACCTGTGCCACCTGTGTCTGAAGGCTTTCCGCACAGTCACGCTCCTTCGGAACCACGTCAACACGCACACAGGTGAGCCCCACCCCATGAGGGTGCAGAGGTGAGGCCCCACCCCGTGAGGGTGCAGAGGTGAGCCCCCCCCCGTGAGGGTGCAGAGGTGAGGCCCCCCGTGAGGGTGCAGAGGTGAGCCCCCCCCCGTGAGGGTGCAGAGGTGAGGCCCCCCCCGTGAGGGTGCAGAGGTGAGGCCCCCGTGAGGGTGCAGAGGTGAGCCCCCCCCGTGAGGGTGCAGAGGTGAGGCCCCCCCCGTGAGGGTGCAGAGGTGAGGCCCCCGTGAGGGTGCAGAGGTGAGGCCCCCGTGAGGGTGCAGAGGTGAGCCCCCCCCCGTGACCTCCCCCCTTCACCTGGGGCTCTGCTGCAGTTTCTGCTACCTTGAAAATAGAAAACCCCAGAAGCTGGAGTGGAGCTCAGTGGAGAGCACTTGCCTAGCACATGCAGGGCCCTGAGTTCCATCCCCAGCACTGCAGAAATAAAGGGGAATCGCAGAAGAAGCAACCCGATTAAGTAATTTCCCTTTCGGTGCGTGTTCTCTTGGCATCGTCTGCTAAACTCAGTTTCACTGCACGCGCTCTGTAAAATGAGGACTTAAGCGCCCAGGCGAGTTCTCCATCCCTGGGCTGCATTCCCGGCCCTTTTCTTTCTGAGACAGGTCTAAGTTGCCCAGGCTAGCCTGAGACTCGTGATTCTCCTGCCTCAGCCCCTGAGCAGCTAGAAAGAGGAACTTGGGCCACCAGCCCAGCTCATTGGTCTGTCAACTTCTTATTAATGTATTAGTTAAACCTTATCATAAGTATCCAGGGGCCATTTGCCCCTTGCTCTATAACAAGAAGGGAGGGTTCCCGTTGTGTAAGTATTTATTCATGCTTAGTTTTGCCTTCTTTTCCCATCTGTTTTGTTTTAGTTTTTGTTTTGGAAATAGGGTCTCACTTTTAGCTCAAGCTAATCTCTAACCACACGATCTCCCTGCCTGAGCCTTCCGAGTGCTGGGGTTAGGAGCCCGCCACACCATTTCCCCCTCCCACCGCGCGCCCGCCTTCTTGAATTTCAGTTAAAAGCACTGACTGTTACCCAGAGCTCTGTCTCGTACATCTGTGATATTTATAGTGCAAAGAACTTCTTAATTGCTGAACCCTTTCAGACTGCCTTTTCAAAACTACAAAGTCGCTGAAATCTTTGCAGTTAAGTCTTGTTTGAAAAGTGTAAACCCCCATGATTTCCCAGGAACCAGGCCCCACAAGTGCGGGGACTGTGACATGGCATTTGTCACCAGCGGAGAGCTGGTCCGGCACAGGCGTTACAAACACACGCATGAGAAGCCCTTCAAGTGTTCCATCTGCAAGTATGCCAGCGTGGAGGTGAGCCCCCCATCAGCCCTGAACAGGGAGGGATGCTAACCTGTTACCGATATTCACCAAGGTGTCTTAAAGTCTATGCCAGAGGCCACAGGCATTAATGTCCAAATTGAACATAGAAAACTGGAGCTGAATTCGGCTGCTCACAGCTACAATCCCAGCACTGTGGCAGGAGGATTGCTATGAGTCTCCATAACTGACCAACAGAGGACAGTTTGATGGAATCAGTTCTCCCCTTCTGGAGGATTGAACTCAGACCGTCAGGCTTGGCAGCGAGCACCTTTACCTGTCACGCCATCTTGCCGCCCCCAGACAGTATTTATCTATATTTGTTTTTATTATTTTGAAACTTGGAGGGGTGGTGTGTGCATGTGAGTGCAGGTTCCTGAGAAGACCAACAGAGGTACCGGATTCCCTGGAGCTGGAGTGGCTGGGAAGCCGTTTGATGGCAGTTCTGGGAACAGGACCTGGGTCCTCTGCAAGGACGCTTGATACATGCTCTTAACTGCTGGGCCATCTCTTCGCCAACCCCCAAAACATTTAAAAATATACAGATTAGAGATATTAGTTATGATCAACAAATAACCCTGGGCTAGAGACGGTCAGCAGTTACAAGCACTGGCTGCTCTTGTGGAGGACCTGGTTTGATTCCCAGCACCCACGTGCTGGCTCACAACCAGATGTCGGTAACTCCAGTTCCAAAGGGTCCAATGCCCTCTCAGGCCCCAGGTTCCAGACACAGCTGTGGCATACAGACACACATGCAGGCAAAACACTCGAATGCACAAAATGAAAATTTAAAAACTAAAGTGAGAGAGAACCCTCAGACATATTGAAAAGGCCTTTATAGTATTGAATGTCACTGTCAGGGTCACAAACCAGAACATCTCCTCTCGCATGGAACTTGGGAATTTGGGCTGAAGTTTTCTTTTTTGAGATACGGTCTCACTAAGTTGCCCATGCTGGCCTTGAACTCACTCTGCAGCTTAGACAGCCCTTGAACTTGAAACCCTCTCCTACCTCAGCCTCCTGAGTAGCTGGGATGGTGGGCCTGTGCTGTCTGCCATCAGGCCCCTCAGTGAAACAAAGGCTTATGAGCAGCTATGAGCAGCGACCCCTTTCCAGGACCATTTTCTAGCAGCCTGTGCCCAAGCTTCATGTGAGCGATCTGGCTGCGTCCTGGTGGAGAGCTGGCCACAGGAGGGTTAAGCAGGGACTCCTAATAGGAACTAAGCTAAAGGGTACAGCGAAGGCTTAAACTCGGCAGTGACGCAAGTGTGTTTCATAAATAGGGGGATTTCACACACAGGTCAGGATTCGATTCCAAGAACCTCCTTCTGCTGTGGCTATTTTTAAAAGGAGCTCTCCCATCTGAGGCAAAGGTTGTGGCAGCAACGTGAGGGTTCAAAAGGTGTCCCACAAGGCGACTCCGAGGCTCCTCGTGGGAAGGACTTACTGTGGTGTCCCACAATTCTGCCCACGAACTTGCAGGCTCTGAGACCTGCCCGGGGGCAGTGTCCGTGCAGCCCGGGGGTGGCCCGTGGGGCACTGCCCGCTGTGCCACCATCTTTTGATGGTCCTTGCTGGCTAGCGTTGAGATGGGAGATGTTGCTCCTGCTGAGCCCCTCGGAGGTAAGTTCAAGGCCTTCCTGGACTATAGCGTGAGCTCCAAGCCAGCCTGCACTCCTTAAGCACGGTCTCAAAATAAAAGGTAGAGAGAGCTGGAGATGTAGTTCTGTGGTAGAGAAGTTGCCACCTCGGAGGCCAGGCAGGGACACCCTGTGTTACCACCATCTCTTACCGTTTGCCTCACGGAACCCTAAGCCCTCTCCCACACTGCAATGTTAAAAATTCTTTTCTCTTTCCTTCCTGTGATACACGAAAGATGGTCCCCATATTTCTTCTTTAAAAAGAGATCAAGCTGGGTTCATCGTGGGTCTTGGTTGGCACTCTAAGCCCTCCTCCGTTCTCCAATGTTCTCCCAGCCTGGGTGTGGCCCCTGCGTTCCAGGGAAGCAGGTCCATGTGATCTTCCTGAGGGTGAGCGGGGGTTGATATAGGTTCCCAAGCCTCCAGGCCGGTGTGGCTGATGGCCCTGCTCCCCATGTAACAGCAAGGGGATTTGCCGTGAGGAAGGCCGGCAGCTGCAGCGAATGTGTCTTGCTGTTTCCTATTTAGCGGCCTTTCATACCTAATAGAGTTCATTTCTGCCACTTAAAACTCCCTCCTTGTTACTTTTGTTTGTGTTTGGGATGGTGGCTCATTACGTGGCCCTGGTTAGTTCAGCACTAGCTTTGTAGCCTTGGCTGGCCTGGAACTCACCTTAGAGACCCACTGACCTCAAACTCACAGACATTCCCATGCCTCTGCCTCCCGAGTAGTTTCAGCAAGACCAGCATACAGGAGGCTGAGGCAGCAGGATCACTGTGAGTTGGAGGCCAGTCTGAACTATGAAGTGTGTTCAAAATCATCTTTAAAAGAAGCCAGTAGCGGACGAAACCAACAGGCCTGCCTCTGTCTCGAACCCAGTAAGCAGAGGGCCCGTGAGAGTTCTAAGCGTCGGGTGCCTCACAGCCGGCTCTCATTTATATAATGGTTCAGCTTTCCCACCCTGGAAAGCTTGTCCAGCTGTGTCTTTTCGGTGATTTAAACGTCTGCTGTGAGTGGACAAGAACTTGGAAACAGAGAGAAACGTACACGGCGCTGAGCAGCAAGCTGCTCTGTTTGAAAAGTGACATTTAGTGTGGAAGTCTTCTAACCCGTGGACCTTGTGCATTCAGCCCTTGGCATAAGGAAGGCTCATTTGCAGATCGGGCAGTCCTGCTTTAGGGGGCACCCGATACTGCCTTTTGCTTTTGTGAGACAGGGTCTCTGTAGCCCAGGTTAGCTTTGGGTTCACTGTATGACCCAGGCCCTTCTCAGACTTGCAGCAATCCTCCTGCCTTAGCTTCCCCAGAGTTGGACTTGCAAGCATGTACCACACCTACATTTTCCTTCTTCCTCCTCTTTCCTTCCTCTTCCTTCCTCCCTTCCTTTCTTTTTTAGAGGGCGGGTGTTTGAGACAAGGTCCCTGATGTGGTTTTAGTGGGCCTTGAACTACAGCAATCCTCCTGCCTCAGTTTCCTGATTTCTAGGGTTGCTCATATCTCTGATAAGAAGTTGGCTACCTGGCGCCCTGACCACCGTCAGGTTCCCATGGCAATGACCCTCTCCATGTCCTAGGCAAGCAAGCTCAAGCGCCACATCCGCTCACACACGGGTGAGCGTCCCTTCCAGTGCTGCCAATGCACTTACGCCAGCAAGGACACCTACAAGCTGAAGCGCCACATGCGGACCCACTCAGGTGAGGGCCACGGGCACACTCAGGTGAGGGCCACGGGCACACTCAGGTGAGGGCCACGGCACACTCGGGGGAGAGCCACAGAAACACTCGGGGGAGAGCCACTGCACACTCAGGGGAGAGCCACGGACACACTCGGGGGAGAGCCACGGACACACTCGGGGAGAGCCACGGACACACTCGGGGGAGAGCCACGGACACACTCGGGGGAGAGCCACGGGCACACTCGGGGGAGAGCCACGGGCACACTCAAGGGAGAGCCACGGGCACACTCAGGGGAGAGCCACGGCACACTCAGGTGGGAGCCACGGGCACACTCAGGTGAGAGCCACGGACACACTCAGGTGGGAGCCACGGGCACACTCGGGGGAGAGCCACGGGCACACTCGGGGGAGAGCCACGGGCACACTCGGGGGAGAGCCACGGCCACACTCAGGGGAGAGCCACGGCACACTCAGGTGGGAGCCACGGCCACACTCAGGGGAGAGCCACGGACACACTCGGGGGAGAGCCACGGGCACACTCGGGTGAGGGCCACAGACACACTCGGGGGAGAGCCACGGCCACACTCAGGTGAGAGCCACGGACACACTCGGGGGGAGAGCCACGGACACACTCGGCTTATCATGTAAAGACTGCGTGCCCAGGTCCCCTCTCCATACACACTCTGAGCTGCTGAGGGGCCACAGTGGCCCTGCTGCCTGGCTGGCCTTCCGGGTCCTATGCCACTGAGGCTGAACCTGAAGAAAAGCAAAACCCCAGCACAGGTGTCCTTTGGGAAGGACTGGGCTCACGGGGAAGCCATGCCTGAGAGTCACTTGTGGTTCCTGTCACAGGTGAGAAGCCTTATGAATGCCCCACCTGCCATGCCCGGTTCACCCAGAGTGGCACCATGAAAATCCACGTGGCACAGAAACATGGCGAGAATGTGCCCAAGCACGAGTGTCCCCACTGCGCTACCACCATTGCAAGGAAGAGCGACCTGCGTGAGTGTCACAGCACACACCTGCCCCTTGGACTCCAGGCCTGCAAGCCTGCAGAGCCTGCCAGCTCTGGAGGCCTCGCTGAGAGCTGAGCTTAGGAAACTTTGCTAGGAATGTTTTTACAGAGGTCCTGCCCTGCCCTCTGGTGGCCGGCCCGAGTAAGTGCATGCAGTTCAGACGCCGCCGCCAACCCTACACACCTGTATGAGCAAATCCACCGGTACTGTTTCATCTGGTGTTGGACTTGCTCTTACAGATAAGAACCCTGAGACTGAAGGACACGGATAACTTCTCTGCCAGGGACAGCAGTCCTGGGTCAAAAGCATGTGTGGTAGAAATTTAGCCCTGTCCATGCTCCCTCTTCTGCATGCCACTCACATGCTCTGCTGGGGACTTGAGGGTATAGAGGAGCAACTGAGGCAGGAACTTGCTCAGTAAGAGGCGGCTCGTGACACAGGACGCCCCGGGACAGGATGAGGCTTTACAGGGGTGACTCTGCATGGCTTGGGAGCCTATAGAGCACCAGCCCCTCCGGTGGGGGCTTTTGGCACAGAGTGGGGAGCTGTGGAGGGCAGGAGGGGGGGTAGAAATGTCAGTAAAAATAAAAGCCCTTCCAGTGGGAAATCCTGGAGATTTTGGAAATATCCCCGCAGGGGTGAGGGTATCTGATCAATCTTAACTCTTGTCTTGCTTCTGGAACATTCTGTCAGTGCTGCTGTGGCTCCTGAGGCGCCACCAAGCACTTCCCTGTAGGACGAAGGGATCACTAGCCAGTTGCCACATGTTTGCCACATGCCAGCTCTGCATGTAGGGCTGCTGTAGCGATAGACGCTTCGTCCCCTGTAAGGAGGGGCTGGTCTGTCCGCCTGAGCCAGGAGCACAGGATGCTCCTCCATCATACTGGTATCTTTTTCGGCCTGAAGCTTGGCTGAGTAAGGAGCTTCCTAGACAGCCTGCCCAGTGTGCACCTCCCTCAGGTCACGGGGGAAAGGAGGCCTAGACTCCCAGCAGGGCAACAGTCATGGTTTTGTTACAGAAAGCCCCTTAGTCTTCTCTAAGTCCCTGCACCGTGCTACGGTTCTGTGTCCATGGCCCATCTGTAGCCGCTATCTCCCTGCTGAACAGGGAGGCCTCCGCTAGTTCCTTCCTGGCCGTGGTCTCAGGTGGGACATTGTGCCCTGGGACACGCACCTGGATATGAAGGTGGCAGTCATCATCTCTGAGGGAAAAAAGCTAATGTGGCAGGGGACTGAGGTGCTGAAGAGACTGTAGCGCCCAGGACTGCCTGCCCCACCCAAGAAGTCCCTGTGCATTCACAGTGTCTCCTGTGGCTCTAACAGGTGTCCATCTGCGCAACCTGCACAGCCATAGCCCCGAGGAGATCAAGTGCCGATACTGTCCTGCCGGCTTCCATGAGCGCTATGCCCTCATCCAGCACCAGAGAACCCATAAGAATGAGAAGAAGTTCAAGTGCAAACAGTGTGATTATGCGTGCAAGCAGGTAAAGTGTGTGTGAGTCCCTTCCCTGTGAGGGCTGACTGCATGCAAGCAGGCACAGTATGTATGAGTCCCGTGTGAAGGCTGACTGCGTGCAAGCAGGTACAGTGTGTGTGAGTCCGTGTGAGGGCTGACTGCGTGCAAGCAGGTACAGTGTGTGTGTGAGTCCGTGTGAGGGCTGACTGCGTGCAAGCAGGTACAGTGTGTGTGTGAGTCCGTGTGAGGGCTGACTGCGTGCAAGCAGGTACAGTGTGTGTGAGTCCGTGTGAGGGCTGACTGCGTGCAAGCAGGTACAGTTGCATGAGTCCGTGTGAGGGCTGACTGCGTGCAAGCAGGTACAGTGTGGGACACTGGGAAGCAGCCATTCTTGGGAAAGAGGCTGGGAGCTGGAGAGGCGGCTCAGCTCTTAGAAGCGATTGTTGCTCTTGGGAAGGACCTGAGTTTGAGTCCCAGAACCCACACAGCGTTTCACAACTGTCTATATAACGCAAACCAACTGCAGTTGCAGGGGATCTGACACCCTCTTCTGACTTCCCTGGGCACCAGGTACATACATGATGCATGTACATACAAGCATGAAAGACACTCCTATATATCAAAATAAAACATGAACTTTAAAAAGGAAGGTCGGAAGCTGAAGGCTGGAGAGCTGGCTCAGCAGCTGAGAGCAATTGCTGTTCTATCATGAGGACTAGAGTTCGAATGCCAGCACCCATGGTGGGTGGCAGACAGCTGCCTATATATAGCTCCAGCTCCGGGGGATCCAATGGTCTTGGAGCTCCGTGCACTTACACGAATACAGACACAGGGCGGGGCTGGGTGCGGTGGTGCACAACATTATTCCCAGCACAGAGGCAGGTGGATCTCTGAGTTTGAGGTCACGCTGGCTTACCTAGCAGGTTCCAGGATAGGCATGGCCACATAATGAGACCCTGTCTCAAAAAAAAAAAAAAATGAAAGAAAAGAGACTTCCTCCTCCCACGGCTAACCTTGGAGGAGTTGGTTGACCACAGCAGCCAGCCGCAGGCCATCAGCTGCAGCTGCAGAGAGAGCTCACAGACCTGCTGAGGTCCTCCATCCTCACACGAGCCATCCTCAAAGCGGTACCGGAGCGGCCCCTCCTCCCTGTGTGCACATCCGATGTCACAGTGGTAGTGTCGTTGCCCTAACTGCGGCAGTGACGGCCTGCAAGACTGGACTGGCTGTGGCCATGGTCTTCCTGCCCAGGAGCTAGAACACAGGGCTTGTCACTCAGGAATAGCTGAGGGGCCCATGAGATGGCTCGGCAAGTAAGTGCTCCCTCGGCCACTGAACTTTCAGCAAGCTTCAGGAGCTGAGTTCCCTCCCCAAAACCCATGTAAATGGAGAGAACAACTCCACAAAGACGTCCTCTGATGCCACCACACATGCACCATGTTCACACAAAATAACAACTCATTTTAAACGTCCCTTGTGATGCTGTCAAGGTTGTTTCCCTGTCTTTCATAGTGTGGGATAGAATTGGGCTGGAGAGCTGGTCAGTAGTTAAGGGTGCTCAGTGCTCTCACGGAAGACCAAAATTTGATTCCCAACACCTTCACAACCTTAGCTCCAGGGGATATGACACCTTCCAGTCTCCCGTAGCCCCACCCAGGTGATTTGCACACCCATACACACTCACATACGTAAGTTATCATCTTCTGCTCCAAAGTGTGGGCCGTAGAGAAATTCTGTTTGTTTTTCTTTGGTTTGGGGAAAGGTCTCTTGTAACTTGGGGTGGCTTAGAACTCCACATGTGGCCACGGATGACCCTGATCCCCGAGGACACGGCAGGCTCTGACGGGGGCCACACCGCTCCTTCGGGCGGGGGCGGGGAGGAAAGCATGTTAATGATGGACAGTTTGAGGAGCCCTTCCACCCTGTGTCAGCCATGCCCTGCTTTCCCCACAGGAGCGCTGCTTGAAGGCGCACCTGCGCACGCACACAGGGGAGAAGCCATTCCTCTGCCTGGACTGCAGCAAACACTTCCGGCAGAAGCAGCTGCTTACTGTGCACCTGAGGAAGTACCATGACCCGAGCTTTGTCCCGGACGTGCACCTATGCCTCAAGTGTGGCAAAGGCTTTTCTCGCTGGGTAAGCATCCCTCTATCTCAAGAGCCACGGGCACCTGAAACAATGACCTCCACCTCTGGGAAAGGTTCCCACTAGGTTTTGGATGCAGAAAACTCAAGCATTTTGCAAACACACGTTCTCCCTCGACACACAAAAGGGAAACCTTTGGGGGATGGAACCTGGGCCCGGTGTGTGCCAGGCAAGCACACCACTGCCTCCCCCCCCCTTTTTTTTTTTTTTTTTTAATTCTGAGACCAGCGTTAGCTATACTATGTCCATTCTGGCCTTGAACTTGTGCTCTCCCTGGTTTAGTCTCCTGGGTAAGTGGGACAGCCTAGACCACCAGGCTAGACTCCGTCTGTTCGCCATGTTCTTCGGTGGGTATGAACTTGACCAGATTATCATTAGTGTTCTTTTGGTTTTTAACCCCCTTTGTTTTGGTGAAACCACCGTGTCCCTCCAGGCCCAGCTCTGGGGAGTACTGGGGCAGGTCATCCACACAGTGTTGAAAACAGTTTGGGGGATCTGTCACTCCTGAGAGAACCTAGCTTTATGTTTTCATTTTTGAGATAGGGTCTCACTATGTAACCCTGGCTAGCCTGGAACTCAGTGTGTAGACCAGGCTGGTCTTGAATTCTGCCTCTGCCCTCTGCCCTTTGCCCTCTGGCCTTTGCCCTCTGCCCTCTGGCCTTTGCCCTCTGCCCTCTGGCCTTTGCCCTCTGGCCTTTGCCCTCTGGCCTCTGGCCTCTGGCCTCTGCCTGGATCAAAAGTCTATGTACCCACTGACTGGGTGGAGCCTAGCTTTTAAAGTGTGATAATTGACAGCTGTCCTGTGAACTGAATGCAGGCATCTTCACAGAGTGATTTCCATTCCCAGGCATTTCCAAGGTGCGAAATCAGGCGGTGAGTGGACTCACCTTCTGAGTCTTCTATTCTGTCAGTTGGTGTACTTACTTTCTATTTCCACATAACAAATTACCTCAAAATGCCAGGGTGGATGTGTGTGGTTGGGCGGCTCTGGTTATTAAAAACGAAAGCCCGCGCTGGTGGATACTTGAATCCAACTTACCTTTTAGAAGATTAAGAGAAAAGTCTCGGGCGCGGGGCTCAGGGTGAAACACCGACCTTTGGATTATTAGAAGAGTTAGTGACACCATGGACAGACAGACAGACAGACAGACAGACAGCTCGGTGGGGCTCTAATAAGACAGTGGGGCCCTACAGATCTCAGAGGAAGGAGAGGTTCCACAGCAGGAGCCTGGGGCCAAGTCTCTCTAATGTATGGGGGGGCATCTAACTGAGATGTCCCCACCCACTGGTGGCCTTTGGTGTCAGGCTGTCTGTGGTGTCTGTGTCTGTGGCCGCAGGGAGTCCCAGGGTCAGCCACAGGGATAAGACTGGTGTCGAACCTCACCGTTCTGGGATGCTGGCACTAAAAGCCTGTTACAGACCCTCAGGTTTGCTCTCTGCTACTTTGGAGGCTGGTCAGGGGCCGGAGCACTGCAGGCAAGTCCGCCCTGATTTATCCCACGCTTAAACCTAAAGGCATTCACAAATTTCTGCTCACTGGCTCACACATTGGTCCCCCTGTGGACCTGAATGCCACCAGCCAGCAGCATGACTCCCCTTCTTGTCATGACCCTGACCCTGTGACCCGGGTGACATCTCTGCTCCTCCTCCTGTCTGGGCTCAGGATTTGTCACATGCCACTGTCTCTGTATCTAGAAGAGTCTAAATAGACCACACTTAGCATCCTTGCCCTGCTCTTAAAAGGCGGACACGTCTGTATTCGTGCGCATTAACTCAGCTTCTGCACCAGGCATCCTCAGCAATGATGTTTATGCCCGGCAGGCAAATGAGCCTCTGCTTCCTACACTGCTGGGGGAACAGCCCACGGCTTGTCTAGGGTGCTCAGAGGGCTCCTGACCACTGTTGCCACGACTGAAAACAAGCTTTATTTTATACATGACCATAAAAAACCAGGGCCAGCCCATTTCCTTGTAAAGGGAATAAACACCCCCAGCTTCTCAGACAGCTTCTGCCACAGCTTGACAGTAGAGTGGACAGACCACTCATGATCGAATGTTGGGGAAGGATGGTTTCAGTGTCCTCCAAAGGGACACAGGAGCAAGGCTGCAGTAACCTGGCAAAGCGATTTCTTTTTATGGAAAGGGTATGCCAGAGCCCACACAGGCTAGGGAATATGCTCAGCCAGGACAGCCTCTGTCCTTTATCCCTGACATCCTGAGTGCCCCACTCAGTGACCCCATCCAGCTGGAAGGAGCCAGCTTGGTTGTTGCCCGATTCCATAATGGCATGTGGGGTTGACTCGTCAATGGGCGTACCTGAAAGACCACGAAAGTTCTTCGGTAGTTTTGTTTGTGTGGCACCCAGTGGTAGAGAGGAAAGGACACCCTGACTGGTGCCTGGAAAGAGATGTTCTGCTTTTGACTTCTTCCTGCGTCTTCAGCCTATTCCCCTGGGGCAGTGCCCTACGTTAGTTAGGTCCTCTTAGCGATCAGAAGTCACCAGGACACATGTGACACGTGGACCCAGACTTCACACGCACTTTAGGTCAGCTACGAGTCTCATTCACTCTCTTACTCAACCTCCAGGGTGACCCAACCACCAAGAGTTCTTGGTCTTGTAGATTTAAAGCCCTAGGTGAGCCCCAACTTGTGTTGGGTGTCATACGGAGGGACGCACCAGCAGCAAGTAGCCTGGCAAGGAGAGTCTTCTTGTAAAAAGTGTGCACCAGATCCCACAGTGGGCCAGCAAGCACAGCCAGGCAGGACGGGCTCTGTGTTTCTGCCTGATTGTCTCAGTTAAGGCTTCCCTCGGCTTCGTCTGGGCTGAGATTACAGCCACCACTCCCAGCCGGCATCCCTGAGCTCGGATGTGGTGCAAACTCAACAGTCTGTGTCCTGAGCTCAGGAACACAGCCGGGCGGAGTCACCCTTCCCTCCCCAAGTCCTTTTGGTCATGATATGTCATAGCAATAGTACGGTGGGCATAGACATGGATGGCGCATTGAGTTTCTGGGTTAGTGTCAGGCCTCACTTTGCAGGGTAGAAGTATTGTGTAAAAATAAATTCTCTCCGACAGCTCTTATTTTTAAAATGAAAACAAGCTAGGTTTTGGCTACACCTAATTGTAAATAGGTCATCTGGGGGACCCAGAGAGACAGCTTTGACAGTGAAGTGTGTGTTACTCTTGTAGAAGACCTGACTTTGGTTCCCAGCTCCCACATCAGATGGCTCACAGCCATCTACAACTCCAGCTCCAGGAGAACTGGCGCCCCCTTCTGGCCTCCAGAGACACCTTCACCCACCCCATACACACAGACACACACACACACACACACACACACACACAATTTTTAATGTTATTTTGGTTTGGGTTTTTTGTTTTTGTTGTTGTTGTTGTTGTTTGGCTCACCTTTTAAAAATATATGTAATTATTGATGTGTTTTGAGGTACATCAGAAGGTGTAGCGTGAGCCATAGCACACACGCAGAGCTCAGAACACAACTTACAAAGCTCGGTTTTCTCCATCCATCATGTGGGTCCAGAGGCTCCAAGTCGGGCCGTTAGGCTGTCTGACAAGTGCCTCTACCTGTTGAGTCAATTCAGAATCCATTGAAGCCCTTCTCTTAGCCAAGGGTTGAAACTGCACACGAGGACACTGATGTTCACCAGTAGCCTGTGTCGTCTCCCACAGAGTAACCTGCAGAGACATAGGAAGAAGTGTGACTCAGAGCAGGAGAAGGTGGCCACCTCCAAAAATGGAAGACCGGTACAGACAAGGCAGGCCACGGAGGAAGGACCCGGATGGGACAATGGTATGTCCCTTCTGACCGACAGTGGTCTTCCCATTGTTAACCCCAGCCAGAAAGCCGGTGAGGGTGGTTGTAGCCTCGTCACTGGGGGGCTTGGCAACCGTATCAGAGTGGCTGTGTTACAGCCACACCTCTGCAAGGTCTCCCACACTCAACCCCAAAACTCAGATCATCAGGCTAGGCAGCAAGCACTTACCTGCTGAGCTGTCCCCGGGTCACGTCTAGTGGCATTTTTGCTTGCCACAGGCATGTCATAGGGGAGAGGCTGCTTGCCTCCTATAGTGCCTGCAGTGTCCTAAGGGGTCTCTACCCCAGGTTAAGCAGCCCTGCCTCGGAGCAGGAGACTGACAGCCGGTGTTCCAGAATCAGGTTGGGGGTGGGGGGGTGCCTGCTGCTGGGTTCACACGATGGCAATTGTTTCAATATATACTTTATGGTTTCTGTATCTGGATGTCCTGGCTTTCTCTCACATGTTCTCACTCTGTACATTTTCTCCTAGATGTTGCTACCCAGGTGAGCGATACCACGAAGGAGGCACAGGATACCACGAAGGAGGCACAGGATACCACGAAGGAGGCACAGGATACCACGAAGGAGGCACAGGATACCACGAAGGAGGCACAGTGCCCTGGGGAGCTGGCTCTGGGCCACCACGGTGGTGGCGGCAGCGAAAGTGCAGCCGGGAGCGAGAACCTGGATGAAGGCCTGACCTGCGAGATGATCTTTAACATGATGGATAAGTGACAGGCCGCTCCGCGCTATGGCCTCTAGGGAAGAAACAAGTTAGAAACACGATGACGTGGTGATAGCCATGTTCACAGAGTTTGATGTAGTGTGTAGAAATGTTTGAAGATAAAAAATCTGCAACTTTTTCCTGCAGACTAGCCTCAGAGCTTGGAGGGCACACCTCAGCCCCGTGGGCTCACTGTCTAGGCACTGGCGGGGTGGCACCATGAGCCAGGGTCAGGCTTTAGGAAGTACGGATTTCCGTAGGAGCTCAGCCTAGCTAGTGCTCAGCAGTTAGATGGGGAATCTTTTGAGTTGTTGTGCCTACCCTTGATATTTCTGATACTATGATTTTCAAACACTAAGGATGAATTGTATACCTTTTTTTTATACCAATGAATTTTCTTTCTGTGTTTAAAGCTACCAAGATGCTTTTAATGAATTCTGAATTCAACCCAAAGATCTTAATGGTATAAAAAGATGGAATAGCAGAAGGCAATAAGCAGCCCATTTGAGAAGAGAAAAAAATAATATATATAATAGATCTTTCATTGGCACAGAGCAAGTCTCCCCTTTAGATTTTTGTCCCCCTACTTTTGTAGACCTGTGGGTTGAACCCAGGGCCTGGTACAAGTACTCCACCACCAAGCTACCCCCTAGCCCCCACCCACCCACTCTTTTTGTGTTAAGTTGCCCTGACTGTACTTGAACTCATTCAGTAGCCCAGACATACTCTGGACTGTCTAACCCCCTGCCTCGGTCTTACAAGTGGCCAGAATGGCTGGCCTTTGCCACCAAGCCTGGCTTGCATTCTCTTTTAATTGCAGTCTTTGCCAGCTATGAAATTGCCCTGGCTTTGTTAGTAGCGTTATTTTTATTCTTAGCCAGGCATGGCGATGCACTCAGAAGGTAGAGGCCAGAGGATGGGGAGTTCAAAGTCATCCTCAGCTACATCTCAAACTCCAGGCCAGCCTGGGCTACATGAGAGTCTCTCTCTCTCTCTCTCTCTCTCTCTCTCTCTCTCTCTCTCTCTCTCTCAAAAAAAAAAATATATATATATATGTATTATATATATATATATATATAATTTCTTAGTATTTTGCTTTCCTAAAAGTATTTTATTTACATTTTAAGTGAGAAGAAATCTGAAAATCTGATAATGAAATGTGTATTTGTGAAGAATTTGAACTTCTTGTAAAATTCTCAGTAGTTAGGGAGAGTATCTCTTTCCAGCCCTCACTCTGTGCAGCTGAGCTCAGCCAGGATCTGTGTGCCAAGACAACCCCTAACTCCCCCTAGTGCACTTAGGCTGTGGACCCCTACACTGCCATGACTCTGAATCACCCACCCATAAGCCCCAAGTTCAAAATCTTAAAATGTTGATCTGTTCAAAGCATCCCGTGTGTGAGGAAGCCCTTGTGTGGTCACAGGAGCGGCCCCGCAGTTTGGTTCTCTCCCTGCCTCTAATGAATTTAGACATGACTATGTGACATACACCAGGGCTTAAAGTCTGTAACCTGTTGTGTGCTGTCACCGTGATGCCATTTTTATATTTGCATACTTTTCGCTGTTGTAAAGATTTTTTGCATAATTCAATAAAATGAAATGATTTCTAAAAACCGTCATTGTTCTATGTGAATGGTGGACTTTTTTTTTTTTTTTTTTTTTTTTTTTTTACATTTTTGTTGTTCTAGAGATTAAATCCAGGGCCTCGGGCATGCTGGGCGAGGCTCTACCACTGGGTACATCACAGCCATCTGCATACTTTCTGTTTTGAGAAAGCTATCCAGGCTACACTCTGTGTAACCCACACAGACCCTGAATTCTCAGTCCTAAGTCTCCGGAGTAACTGAGTCACACCTAATAATGGTCCTTCAGATGCTCCTGGGGGCTGGAGAGATGGTTCAGTAATCTTGCAGAGGACCTGAATTAGGTTCCTAGCACACATGTTGGGGCAGCACATATGTTAGGGAGCACACATGTTAGGGAGCACACATGTTGGTCTCTTCAGGTACTGCTATGCATGTAAAACATGGCCCCCTACATACATACATACATATAGCTTAAATTTTTTGTTTTTTTTTTTTTTTTTTTTTTTTTTTTTTTTTTGAGATAGGGTTTCTCTGTGTAGACCTGGCTGTCACAGAGATCCTCCTGGTCTGCCTCCCGAGTGCTGGGGTTAAAGGCTTGGTTTTGCTTTTAATGTATGTCTTGTTGGGCCAGAGAGATGGCTCTGTGGGTAAAAGCACAAGCCTGATGGACAGTTCAATCCCCAGGACCCACATTGTAGAAGAATACCAACTTCCGATACGTTGTCCCTAAGCTTCCATGTGGCAATGTGACACATGCAGACACACACACAATCTTTTAGAAACGTTAATGTCATCTTGAGTGACAGGGGCAGGAGGAACAGCTCAGTAGATAAAATGTTTCCTGCGCAAGCATGGGGACCTTGGCTCCCAGTACCCGGGTGGAAGGTAAGATGTGGCAGCTCGCATCCGTGACCAGTGCTGCGGGCCAGGGACAGTTGGATCCAACAAAGCTGAAGGAGTGGGTCCTGGGTTCATAAAAGACTTCTCTTGCAAATCTGAGATTGGGTAAGGCACTCAGTGCGGACCTCTGGCCTCCACACCCATACACACGCAGAAGCACACGCACAAGGCGTTGTCCATAGTGAGGATTTAGAGGACCTGGCGTCCTGCGCTCTGTGGGTGGAGCGGTCAGTTGAGCCAGCAAGCATAGTGCGATGGTGTTTAATGGGGACGTTTAAATGCCACTAAAAAGTTTTCCACTATGAAGAGTTTAGAACGGGCATGACGGTTATGCGGAAGTGTGACTTTCCTCACTCCCAGCTGTACGTTTAAAATGGCCATCATGGGGCCAGCAATATGGTTCAAGAGAAAGACACTTGCTGCCAAGCCTAATGACTCAAGTTCAAGCCCCAGAAGAGAACCAAAACCATCCTGCAAGTTATCCTCTGAGCACCATGTGTACACCATGGAACACATGAATGTGTGTACACACACACAAATAACCATGACACACAGGAGTGTGTGTACATACACACAAATAACCATGTGTACACCATGACACCATGAGTGTGCATACATACACACAAATAACCATGACACACAGGAGTGTGCGTACATACACACAAATAACCATGTGTACACCATGACACACACGAATGTGTGCACATCTACACGAATAATTGTAGCTTTAGAGAAGTACCCACAATGGGAACACTTTTGTGTCCTACACAGTAATTTAATGTTTTTAGTGTAAGGACACATAATGCTAGAGATTTCTCAGTACTGAGAGGCACCAGCTGCTCATGCAGGAGGCCCAGCACTCACATGGCATCTTCTTGCCCCCAGGGACACTGCACACACGTGATACACAGACATACCTGCAGGCAAAACACTCTCACATAAAATGAAAATAACATGCAAGACAAAGAGCATGCTCTTAGGATGCCAGCCTATAGTGTGGAGTTATTGCTCAGTGGGTAGAGTGGTCCCCTACCATGAAGCCCTGAGCTTGTCCCCAGCACGGAATAAAATGGATGCAGGCTGTGGGCGTGTAATCCCAGCATTGTGCAGACAAGAAGCCCAAGATCATCCTCAACCACATAGTGAGTTTGAGGCCAACTTGAACTACGCGAGACCCCATCTCAAATAAAATGAAATAAAATAAAAACAATCCAGTAGGTCTCCAAAGAGATGTCAAGATCTCCTTATAAACAGACTTCTAAATCAGGTAGCAAAGACCAACTCTGCTCTGTGCCGTATTCCACCACACATCTGAAGATGGCACAGCCACACAGGTGCCTCCTGGAGTGAGGAGGGCTCCGGCACTCTGGCTCTAAGATGGCGGCTGTGCCCACAGTGCCCACCAGAGGGCGGGCGTCCCCTTCTCAAGCATCGACACAGGTGCTTCAAGACTTTTCAGTAAGTCCACAGAGTCCTAAATGTGGGCAGCTTACTTTGTGTGGTACCCAAAGAGAGGGCCAAAGAGAAGCGGGGATGTGGCTGCTTAGTTAGGGTGTTTGGAGAAGCAGCTGGCTGGGGTGCCTGGAAAGGATTGCTTCCTTTAAGACGGCTTGGAGCTAGGGCAGGAAGTCTGACCACTTAATGCATGCCTATTTTTCCGGGAGACAGCACCTAAATTGCAACTTGGGTTGACGGCGGCTCTCCCCAAAAAAAGAGCACTTGGAAACAAAACCTGAGACCTGGTCACATGAGGACAACCTCTGTGCCTGAGACCCAAGCTCCTTCAATGACAGACAACGCTGTGGGTTTCCGTGCCCTGCTGGCAAGGATGGATGGCTTCAGTCCTAGATCTCGTCTCCAGGGTAAACATTCAGCTCTTCTTGACAGTTCTCGGGGGCAGCTTCTATCAGAGCAGTCCTGTGTTGCCTCTGATGGCCACTGTTACTGCTAGAGAAACGACTTGGAACATGGTAGTCATGCCGGCTCTCTCCTCTCTCTCACTCCCTCTCACCAGCCTTTCGTGGGTGCTGATTGGTAGCTGTGTGCCTGGTGGGAGATGCTTGCAGACGCTGCCCCATCATTTCCAAGGTGTGGCTGTCATTAGAAACCTGGTCACCACCAACCAATCCGCTTTGAAACCCTCCCAACCTCGTATTTCAAAGGGCGTGGCCCGGATCAGTGGGGCACACCTTTAATCCCAGCACTCCAGAGGCAGAGGCAGACGGACCTCTGTCTGGACTACAGAGTGAGTTCCAGGACACAGAGAGACACTGTCTCAAAAAACAAACCAACAAAAAGTGCTTGTCTGTACTTCCACCCAGTGCAGAGGATGGAGCAGGAAGCCCGTTTGGTGCCCACAATAAAAAGTGCCACAGGAATCTACTGTGGGCAGGAGCTGGCTAAGAGACGTCGTACAAACAGCTCTAGTGAAACAGCTGTGGGTACAAACATTGGCTGATCTGCCAGAGGACCCAGGTTCAATTCCAGCACCCACACGGCAGCTCACGACTGTCTGTAACTCCGGTT